ATCCAATATATATAAACCAATTTTATTACTTTTAATATTCTAATATATAATAATTATATAATTTTCTAAAAAATTTTAGAAAAAATTATATGAGAAAAAACTTATAATAAGACATAAAATTATTCTATCCCATTAGTTTAATTTCAAATTAAAACATAATATAATAAGGCAAGTTCACAAATTATTGAAAAGGAGAAAGAAATTATTTTATAAGAGAAGAAAAACTATAATTGCATCTTCTTAGATATTGAAAAAATATTTTAACAATAAAATATCTTATGATTTAGTAGAAGATCTCAAAAGAAAATTAGAATAAAACATTTGACATTAAAATCCAACAAAGTGTAACTTAAATATTGCACAAAAAGAAATGTCTCAATCGAATATCTAGAAGAATATGCTATGCTTCCAAAATTACACAATTGTTTGTATTATAAGCCGTTAATGAGTTAATGTTGATTAACATTAATTACATTTCCGACTAAATGATGACTGACTAAATTCCATGTTTTTAATTGATTACTATTTGAATGTATTATGATTAATCTAATCTGATTGACTTTCGATTGACAGCGATTAATAAAATATTGCAATTGTGGTATCGATCTCATCTGATTTTGAAAATCTTAATTCTTTCTGCAATATTAATTTTCAATGAAAATATAACTAAGAGATGTAATTAAGAAGAATGAAAAACAACCAATGAGTTGGAGAAGAATTTTCAAGTGTTGCAATGCAATAGAATCAGGATTTTTGTGCTTCTATGATGATCGCATAAATATGATTTATGAAATGACTATTGCTGTAGTATCTGTTACTAAAAATTTAGAACGATATGAGAGAATAATAAATTGCTTAAAAACCTAAACTGTTGAAAATGCTCAAGCTATTGAAAAATGAATTTTAAGTTATTTTGACTGCTTCATAAATCAATTCTATTCTTAAAATATCGCCCATCTTGAAATCATTAGCGATTTCAAAATGGATTCATAACAGTTGATGAATTTATTACACAATAAATTAATAGATTCTTTTACATAAAAGACAATAATCTTAAGCATAAAAGAATGCAAAACAAAAATACAAAAAAGTGTTTAATTAAATTAAAATTGATAGTTTTTTCTATGTATAAAATCAAATCCATCAAAAACTAAAAAATTCAATGCTAATATTTGCAATTGTAATCTACAATATTGATGAAAATTCTACTTCAGCACATAAACTATCGGATAAACTAGATTAATTATATTTATAAATGATAAAAAGAAAATGACAATTACCATAAAAAAGTATAAACAAGAATAAAAATTGATACATATGGACCAAATAATTATAACCTAAGAAAATAAGATAAAATACTTAGGAATCGTATCAGATAAAAAACTAACATAGGGTTCTCATACGAAACATATAAAAAAAAAGCAATAGCTACAAAATTATTATATTGGTTACTTAATAGAAATCAAAGCTAAAAATTAAACCATTATAGATATATAGAATAATCTTTTGAAGTACAACTGCCATAAAAAAGTTAACAAAAATCAAAATAGCTCAGAAACTCAAAATTATATTCAAACATACTATGAAACATACTATGAAATATAAAAAACAAGGACATAAAAAAAATCTTAAATGCTTTACCAGTAAAAAAAACATAAAAATAACAAAAATAATGAAAGGTATTGAAAAAGGATCAGCGAAACTCCAATGAAATATGCACGATATCAATATCAAAAAAAAATAAATAAATAAATAAACCACGTAAAATAAATTTATTGGATAACTATTCAAATACATAGTTAATATGGAATAAATATAAATTGTGTGAAAAGTTTATAAATAATAAGACTTGAACAAAAATACATGAATAAAAGAGATTTAAAAACAAAACAAATATTTTCTTGAAATTATTTATTATATTATTTATTATATTATTATATTATTTATATATTATTTATTAAGTATCTAAATAATTATAAAAAAATTATTAATATTTGATAATTATCACTTAATTGTCTTTCGCAGAAATCTTTCTCACTCTTTTTTTTCGACAAATTTGTAATTCAGACGTATATAATGAAAAATTCTTCGCCTTTTCTCCAATAAAAAATCAATTTTTTAAAATCATTTATTCTCTGTTTATCGAACTAATTGTCAAAAAATATCATTTCTTGATACATAAATAATGACTTACCAATTTCATTCGCACCATTAGTGTGATTTAACCTGATGAATTTGGACCAGTGTTCACTACGAATATGGAAATACAATATCGTATGTTCTATTTATGAATTCAAAACTACATTGATGAAATATCTTACATGTCTAATCTGAATAAAAAAAAAAAAAAGATCGCAACATTTTAGATTTAAAGCCATAATTAAGATTAAATTTTGAAACCATAATATATATAATAGCATATAATTTCAATTATATGTATGACTATCATTAGACATTAGATATCTAGGGTTATGGAAATATAGAATAAGTTAAAATAAATATACTATTTATTTTAGAGATAAATCTTTCGAAATCTCGAAATCTCGAAACTCTTTGAAAGTGAATTATTATATATTCTATATTTCGAAATTTTTTACAATTTTTATATTAGCAAATTCATATGTGAAAAGATTCATAATAGCTATTTTGATTTAATACAGAAATGAAACTTATTTTTAAAATTTAAAATTTATTTTTATTTAATTTTATTAAAAAAGATATTAAAATATTAGTATTAATATTTATTAATAAAGATATAAGATATTAGTATTATTAAAAAGAATATTTTGATTTTATAAAATAAATAAACTATTATTTATTAACTAGAATTATAAAAATTTTCTTTTATTAAAATATTCTAACATATTCTTTTATTAAAAATACATATTTTTTAAATTAATTATTTAATCGGAAAAATATTTTATTATGAAACACTTTAAATACCTCTATAATTAAGTTAATAAAACACATATAAATAAATTTTGTTTGTTTTTTATAAATAAATTAAAATTACTAAAATAAGAAGAAAATTATTTTGTTAATTGTATATCAATAATAAATTTTAAATGATTTTTACACAAGAGATTTATAATTAATTAATTTTTCCATATGTAAAAAATTTTTTTATAGAAAAATGACAAGACTAATGTCTTATGAAAATTGAATAAAATTGATATCATTTTTGATTATTTAAAAAATATTAGATATACATATATTATATATATATTATAAGTTATTATATGATTTATAAAATAAATAAATATTTATACAATATTCTAATTATATTGTAGAAATTGTTGACTTAAGATTAATCAATTTGAAATTACATCACTAGATATATTTTCATTAATTAAATCTATTATAATCTATTATATATCTATTATTATAATACTATAATCTATTATATTTGCAAATGAATCACGTAATAAAAATCGCCGAAAAAAAGCATCAAAATATAATGATATAAAGCAATATTAAAAAATCTACATATTATACATTCGAATGCATAATGTAGATTCAAAATATCAACTATTAGTAGAATATGCAGAATTCCAGAATATATATTTCTAGAATCTACTTTTATTCTCTTATTAAATCCTTAAAATAAAGTTCTGAATTCTCCTTATAAATAAAAAGAATTGCTTAAACTTTTAAATTTTTTTTCTATTCATTCAATTTCAAATTATCCTCAATTGACATAATGGCAAATGATATAAAAAAACTTTATTCGTATTATACATATATATAATATAATATGATCTTTAACAAAAAATAATAATATATTTGAAAAAGAAATCATAATTCGAAAAACACATATAAAAATTTAGTTTAATTATGATTTCATGTATCTCTCGCAGATATGAAAATTTCTCATATAAATGAGCTTTGAAAAAATAAAGAAATTAAGTTATCAAATTAAATTAATAAATATTATGTAGTTGTATTTTCATGTATCATAATAATGTAAATAATTGGATCATAAAAAAAATTGGACAAAAAACAATATATACAAAAAAAACAAATTTCAAAATAATTTAAAATAGAAATAAACTATAAAATAAATTAACAAAAATAATTTTTAATATCTTAAACAAGTCAAAATGTGTTATAGAATCAAGAAGATACTAAAATCAATATTTAATTTTTATAAAAAATTGCTATTTTAATTCTTTTATCATAAATTTCTGTCCGAATATTTTTGCAATGAAAAATAGTTATTTCATTAAATTTTAATATTTTATTTTATTATATCAAGTTAATTAAATAAGTCACTCATATTTATAAAGTATAAATACTCTATATAATATAAAATATATCTCTTATAAAGTATAAATACTCTATCGAAAGAAACAAGTTTAAATTTATTTCTTCTATAAATAACAAAGATATAGGTCATTGAATTTAAGCATATGTTAGTGTCTGAATATTTTTACAAGTAGATATTAAATAGATATTAAGATTTAAAATAAAATTATTTTAAGTAATAACCTAATTTAAAATGTTTGAATAATATTTACATATATATTATTTTGTAGTTATATTATAATTGATTCACTCTATTCATTATCATTTCAATTATTCGATATTTTGAATAATAAATTATTGAAGAAACTCTGAAGAAATTAAAGTAATTTTAAGTTAAATTGTTAAAATTTTGCTAATTTCTGTTTGTATAACTGTGCCACCAACTGAAAAATTGCAAAGAAGAGATTGATGCCGTCTTGGAATGGAATGGGAGAGTTTCTGTGTAAGTTTCTATCTATTTTCTTATAATATAATCCTAATCATAATCCAAATCGGTGCTATAAATGCTGTCTTACTTTGCCAATTTGAAGACTATTTATTTAAGACTATATGCAAACATACTATCCATAAAAATAGCGCATATTTGAAATTCGACAGAAAATGAGCATCATTCACACTTTCAGTATCAAGCTATCTAAATAAATCTCGAAAGTCGCACGATAAGATCAAAATATTTTATTGATTGAATCGCTCACCCTGATCGTTGTCCGATCCACACTTATAATATTTCTGAAGATAATCCTGTTTACCGAAAATGACTAAGAAACATAGAATTTCTTTGAAGAAGTCTGTCTTATGAGAGATCACTATCAATCGAAACTCTGAATTGGAAGCAACAATACAAACTATTTCTAACTCGGTCAATCGAGTGATTTTATTTCCTTCTGGTTGGCCAACCAACATGTTGTCGTAACACGTGATTTTTGTAAGATGCACAACTTGTATATGTCAAGTTATAAAAATGATCTATTATGAAAATATACATACAAATGCATCTTTCTTCTGTGGATCTTTCTACTCTTTGAAAATTGCATACTCAAATATTATTACGGAAGAAAACATCCAATAATAACTCCAAGAAAAACAATTGAAAAGCAATCTATCTTCAAGGACATTATCAAAATAATTTCTATCTTACTTGCTTTATCAAGGATTGATTATCGTGGTCATTATTCTTCCTGCCGTCCCGAATTTATATTAACAAACGCATTAAGTTTGAGAAATCATTAGCGAGAAATGTCAAATAACAGATTATTACTTTTTCAAATAATTTTGTGTAAAAAAACTTTTTCGGTTAACTTTCATTCTTTGAAAAAATTAGTCTTTTATCATATCGATTTAGATTTTAATTTATGTTTCAAACAAATATTGTGACAATCGCTTGATACAACTTTCCGGGATTTCAAATTTTACTTCCTTGATAGTAAGTATATTTTATGAACAATTCAGTCCTATACTATATCTTTTTTAATGGTAAAAAATCACTTATCATTCAATGTAGCCTCTGTAAAAAATTATATATTCTCTGCCTAAGTTTGTTCATTATAATAAAGATATCTCACAGAAGATCATTAAGAAATCAACTCTGCCTTATTTGTTTCAATGATTTGTTGAAACTATAATATATATATATAATATATAATAATAATATATAATATATAATATATATAATAATATATATAATAATATATATAATAATAATATA